AGTGAGTCCTTCAGTGCGGACCTGTGTTCTCTGCGCGTTTTGTGAGTTGAGAGTGTTGTTCACCGCGTATGAGTGACTTCAATCCGAAGTAGGCAGTCCAAACCGGGTTTCCTACGCTAGCAGCAAGCTAGTGGAAGTGTTGTAAAAGCCGGAGTTGGGAGTCACTACCCGCAGCTTTGCTGAGTGCACTCTTGAAAGACCTTCCCCCTGAAATCTTGAGTAGAGGTCCTAACGGATCTCTGGGTTGTGTTTCTGCAGTTTCAGGTGTGTGTGTGTGTGTGTGTGTGTGTTATGCTGCACTGTGCGACCTCCGAGTGCGCTCCGAGTGAACACTTGCAGTACTTCTGGGAGTGACAGTCGCCTGAGAATTCAAACTCCTCAATAGTCTGTTAAAACGTGACACTTTGTACCCTATGTGTTACTCTGTCCCTGTGGCTTCGACATTTCTACCACTATATTGCAGTTTTAACCTTTAGTGGGTTATTACAAGTTTGGTTTTGTGATTTTATGTACATTTTTGTGATAAATAGTTATTTCAAAGAGTAGTATCAAAAATTTAAGTCAAATCAAGTTAATATTTTTTCATCAAATATCATGATGTAAAAATGACATACATTTATTTTTCCATAACTTTAAGAATATTATCTATATGATACATTTTAAGATCAAATAATGTAGATGAAAGTTGAAATGAAAAATACATGCATTTTTTAAATAAGAAAACATATCCATAATGACAATTTGAAATATATAATTTAATACATAATTTTAAAACACATCTGAATGTTCAAGAATGATGATTTATAAAAATCTATAAAAATAGATGAAGAAATATTTGATACTTCTATTATTTCAAAAAATATAGATACTGATCTGAAATTTTGACATAATACATATGTTCCATATGGCAAAATTATAGAGCTTAATTCCTATACTTCATATATTTTTTCTCTATTGTAGTGATTTTTGGTCATGTGTTTCATCATAAAACTAATAATTTTATAAATGTAAATTATAATATACAGGATCATTAAAATAGTTTTGAATTTTATTTATTAAAAAGTTTACATATTACAAGTTTATATAGAGACAACGCGAGGCAAATTCTAACCAACGTGCCAGGTCTATCAGCTGCACTGTACAATACTGCAAATTGAGGTAGCACAAATAAACTGCCCAACACAGTTTTATTGCCAGAGCACAAGGTGGAGCATCAAGTCAAGCCTCTCGTTCGGCTTCTTGGTCCCGTTTGTGCAGTAAGCTTCTCTGAGCTTGATCTGATCGGAGCTCTGCCACCGATGAAGAATGCACGAATAAAGGAATCGTTCGGGATGGAGGCAGAGAATCAGAAGAGTTGAAAACGCGTTGATCACTTGATTGATGACTTCACATCTGGGCATGTAGCTGGGGATCGCCTCATCTAGCACTCCAGATCCAATCACTAGATTACTTGTCACAATCAAGCCGACCAGAAAGCTCCAAAGCACAACCTTCACGTTTCTTTGATCCAAAAGCCATCTGTGGTAAGTAATTTCGACGTGATGCAGATTGAAGTGTCCAACGACGACGTTTACATTTTACCTCGGTTCAGCCATGTTGTCGAGCTTTTCGAGCAAGCATGCATTTCAAATCGAGCCTTGAACAATTTTCAGGAGCGTATGATTGGCAGCGATAGTTCCACAGCGATACTCAAACTTAGATATGGAAATCTCTACACTAGCTCTCTTCCTCTACAGATTAATAATACAGATATTAGATGATCAAACCTTGAATTATATTATACAAGAACAGCTGAACACGAGACTTTCTTCTTACACAAGGAAGGAGAATCCACTGCAGTAACGTTGTCGAGTTTTCTCCACCTCAACGATCCGAACGGTCCTTGGGTACCTACTAATTGAATATCGTGATAGATGTAAAAATCAGTTTACGAGACAAAGATGCGACGATGGAGTGCTCAGAGTGCTGCCAATAATGTGAGATTGACTGCCAATAATTTGAGCTGCATGCATCTCAACCTTAACATGGAACATGGAAATTAGAGTAATAATAATCAGATCTAATAATATTCTAATAAAATTTAATATCTCTCAGATTATGGCAATTGCATTACCAATAATACATATGAGATATTTATTTGTAGCTGTTGATATAAATACAATATTATTTACAACTATATGTTATGATAATATGTGATTGTATTTGAATATATTTCAAAATTTGTACATCACAATTATGTCTTCGTATACGTATGATAAGTGATTATAATTGAATACTACTTAGTTACTTTTAACATACTAACATATTCATTTCTAAGTAAAATTATTTTATTACTTCCTTTTTTAATCAATTGTGGAACAACATTGTGATTTACAATATTTTTGAATGATGTACTGAAAAATTCATGAAATTTATTATTATTTATTGATAAAAAAAATTTCACTCATTTCACATACAAATCTAATCATATCTTTTATTTATTTATGATCCTATATTGTTTAATATTCATTACGCCTATTATAAATTATAATGAGTATGATGCTAAACTAAAAAAATTTAACGATAAAATATCATAAATCAAAAAACATGCAACCATTATGTTTCATTTTGTGCTACTAATTGAGTGAGTTATAGTTTAGCTTGAACTTTATTGGATGATTTCTTACAATGATAAAAATTTCAATTCATATTTTTAATGCTCAACATGTTTAAAAATAAATCTTGACTGACTTAATTATAATCTGAGTAATACTATTTTTAATTTATTATCTGCATTTATTGACTCATCAGTCATGTTGAATCATTAACATATATTTAGTGTGTTCTTTGATATGATAATGATGTATACTATCATGTGATATGCATAGTAATTGTCATAATTTATGTAAAAAAACTTTTAAAATATACATATTAGGATAAAAAAAACTATAGTACTTAATATAAAACTATAGTACTTAATATTTGAATTAGAATGATAACACAAGATAAAAAAATTTATTTTTTTTGTATGGAAATAAAATTTATTGATTATGTAGATAAATGATATATGATCTTCTTTTTATTTCAACTTTAATTTTTATCGCATGAGCAATTTCCATGCTTCTGGATATCTCATGTGAGTGTATCAGGTGATGTTGTCATCAACAATTCATGAAATTATGATACTAAATTCCACATCATTGATGTACAAAAACTGAATGGATGATCATGGTCATTGAATGGGTAATATTGTATCATGCATCTTATTTAATCATTGTGTAAATTTGAAGCTTAATTTTTCAAAGACCTGTTTGAATAGAAAATTATCCAACTGATTTTTTTCCTTAATGTTACATTATTAAGTTCTATAATTCAAATTTGAACTCAGTATATTTTAAGATTGGGACTTGAAGAGCAAACGTAAAATGAGATATTAGCTAGTGCAAACATGGTATTTTTTGGAAAACAATCTAATACATACAAATTTTTAATTCTGCGATAATTCTACGAAAAATGATGAATATCAAATGAAAGCTTTTCTTTTATGATTATTTCGGTAAAAATTTTGGATTTTTATGATACATTTTTTTTAATGTAATAAATGTATTGTGATGTTTGATATTGAATATGATAAAAAAAATTAATGAAAATTTTCAAGTTGATAGAAATATCATATTGTCATGAATTTTCATCTCAATGAACTTTTCACACTTAAATAAATTACATTAGAATGATGGATTTTTATTCATTTGTGAAACATAACATATCTAACATAACATATCTAACATAACTTATGACTGCCTGAACATGAGTGATTATTTTTTTGTGTATGAATTGTGTTCATTTTTTATGCAGTAAAATTTTGATGTTTGTAATAGTTTGTGGGGATAAACATCTCGCCTAGAGGTAATTATACATGATTTCATAATGACCTTATGTTTGCGATTAGACTTTAGTCCAAGTGGATTACTCCAAGCTAATCATTTTAGCCTGGTTTAGAAAACATTATTCCATTCATCTGTGAGTAAAAGTTTCTAATAATATACATACCAGAGTAATCACATAGTACAAATTCAATTTGGATGCTCTAGTTATTTGTAAACCGATTAAACTTACACATTAGTTATTTGGGATTTTGTATGGCATTATAAAAATTATAATTTTAATGAAACCTGGTCATTAATATTTTCTTTACTTTTATTCTTGTATTTTTCAATGAGTTGTTCTCATACCACTGTACATCACTTGGCACTGATTCCCTTTACATCATAAGGATCCATTCACATGAACAAAAAGGTCACACTATTTGTGAAAACTCATATCAAAATCGAAAAACATGTTGGTTTAATTGCTTACGTGTTCATGTAATATCACATATAATTGTACTTATATTTTTCATGAATATGTGGTTTAATGAAAGATGAAGGATTATTTAAAGACGAGTTGGTATCATCGCATATTGATTTAGTGTATCTCACAAAATTAATTTATTCATATGAAAGTAGATAATTTTGCTCAAAATTTTGTGAAAATTTTGATAATATGAAAACTTGGTTAAATATCGAAGTCCATGAAAAAAAATAGAATCAAAAATTTGGCATTATATATGAAAATTTTTTGCACAAGATTAAACCTTACAGAAATGACAAATCATTTACGGGTCGTATCACATAGGTTAGGAGCTAACCATCTCATCGAAACCCATTCTAAACATGAAAATATAAGAAGGCAATTTCGGTGTAAATGCTGCATACAATCCATGAATCCAATACGACATACGAATGAAGACAGCAAATCCGCTTCGTTCCCTTGAATCCCAAAAGTCAACAAGACTTCATGGTAGATCGTAGCAACGAAGCATTTAAGCTAAGCGTAAATTCGGAAATGAGGATATTTCGAGATAATGTAGACGACGGAGGTTTAAATATTTGACTACTTGGATCAAAAGTCCGGAAGACGAAACATCGACGACACTGCCTGTCGATCAGAAGCGTTACAGTGGAGGGCCAATCGGCAGTCCCCCAAGAGGTCACCAGCAAGGGGACGGCAGACGGAACCTCTGTTCCACTGCAGGAGGGAGGGAGGAAGAGAACAAGACGGAAGAAAATACGCAGCAGGAGAGAGAGAGAGCCGAGGCGATGTGAATTTCGCCCTCCTCTGCACTGCGAGTGACGTGCATCGTAAGGGAGCCCAAGTGGAAGTGGAAGAGTGATGATTTGCAACGACCGCCGCTTGCTGCACGACTGGTTCTCGACAGCCAGTTCGAGATTTCTGCCGGAGGCAGCTCAAGACCTAAGGGCTGTCTGGATCGTTCACTACTCCCATCTGCATCTGTCGGATCAATGCCGAGCGATCCGAGTGGAGTTTGAGGCTGCTTAAGCGCGATTTGGGTGGGGAGGAGGAGGAGGAGGATCTGATTCTCACGCTTGATACGCAACGTTCGTGCAGGTGGAGTGGATTGTCGTCGAGCAGACGCAGAACGCACAGGAAAGTTTGCTGGGCGGAACTCGCATATTCTTGTGGATGTGGATTTGAATTGGAGATAATTGAGTGGAGCATTGCTTCAGGAAGAGGAGAGGGCAGGAGAGAGGAATTTTATATCATAGATTTTTTCCAGCATCATCGGAGATACTGCAGCAGATTTTATGTATATGGTGAGTTGAGCTAGGGAAGATCATGGAGACACAAGGCATTGTATCGGATCACTCGAGCAATGGCTACAGGAGAGGAACGAACAGAAGAGATGGGAGCGGTCATCGAAATTCGGGTGGATATCAGCAGAGATGGATGTCCAATGAAAGCACTGGGAGTAGCAGCAGTGCACCAGCTGCCGTAGTGAAGAATAGGGGGCCTGAGGGGAGCGGAAAGGCAATCGTTGAAATAGCAGGAAGCAGTCTTGCCGCCCAAAATGGAACACCTTCGGTTGCCTATGAAAGCAGTAGGGCATGGAGCAAAGTTCATAGCGTGGACATGAAACCTAATTCTGACCAGGGTGCGAAAACGATTTCTAATAGTATTAGGAGTAGCTCAGGAGTAGGAGGGGGTAGCAGAAGTGGAATGGCAGTGGAACAGAGTTTTGTGCCATACTTGCCGCAGGACGATGCCATACTGGCCGGATTAGGAGAGCGGGAAGGTGGTGTGGATGCTGCCGAAACTCAGGAGGTGACCGATCTTCTGAATGAGCAGCTTAGTGCCTTGCTTTGTCTTCCTCCTAGACAATTTTGGAAAAAAGGTTTGTTACCTCTCGGACTTGATCATGTCAAGCAAATGACACTTGCTTGTCAATTTTGCCATAATTGCAGAAAGTCGGATGTATGCAGCCTCATTTGTATGTACAAAGAGAATGCCTTTTCTTTTACAGTTGTTTTATGTTTCATCACGTCGAGGGTGAGCATGTCAAACCTGTTACTTTGTGATCAGTCATGAATCTAGTGAACTCCTTGTTGCATAAGAGCTGAAATTGGAAAGATCAATGCTCCTTTGCACATTAGTAACCGCCGAACCGATCTTATCTGGCGTTAAATTTTTTCGCATTTGTCAACTTGGTTAAACTTGGGCTTTACGTAATGATTTTGCTGAAAGAAGTTGCACTACTCTCATCGATTTTATTAGATTCTTCCCTTTTTTCCTTGTTCCGTGGACTTCGTTATCATAGTTGTCTTGCATTTGTTGGCAGTGAGACATGTTAGAGCTTTTGGCTATTATCGTACATCTGAATATTCTCTGTGATCAAGTTGTGGCTTCTACGCATGTAAGCACTGAGGTTTAAGCCTGGTCAAATAAGGAATGTAGAACCGTCTACTACCTAAACAACCTGTAATCTTATACGGTGTACATCGGGTCTATCCAGTTGTTACGGACGAGAGCTTGTCTGTATTCCTGGACAGTTACCTGCACTTTAGAAGGCGATGGTTTGACAGTCCACTCGGAAGCCCGAGTGAATCGAAAGTTGGAGTAGTTGCTGGTGATGGAGACTTAAGCAGACGCACATTTATGGTTCTTCTGCGCATGTAAGGCTCTTTCATAATATCATTCTGTCTTAACGGATGTGGTATGTTACATCTGTTGTCATCATCTTCATGTTATATAACGTGTTCCTTTCAGTTGAAGATTTCACTCAATTCGTTATTAGTGATTTTGACAGTGATAAAGTCTCTCTGTAATTCAAGCGATTGCCCGGCACTTACTCGAGTGGATAAATATCTCAGGCAGACCAACTTTGATTTCTGCCTAAAGAATTTGATGAACAATAATCCTCTTTGTCCGTTTAGGTCATCAAATAGTGATCCAGGAACTCCACCCAGTGAGAGTCTTTCTGCAAAGGAACATGCAGCTATCTTGAAGGAGAAGAAGCTGTTGGATATACCGAAGCTGATGGACATCTGTGCCATTTATGGTCACGATAATCCAGATCTGACAAAACGTTTGGTAGGAGCTCGCTCGTTGTCTTGCTGCCAAAGATTTGACTTTGAGTAGAGATAGTGGTCAATCGTGTCCCGTTTCCATGTAGGATGTCTGATTTGCATACTACATCTGGATCAGGAGCGTTATCTAATCCACCTTGTGTGTATGTATTCAAAGGTTAGCAATGCATTTCAGGCACAGCCTTGTTATGCCGATGAGCTCGCCGGTCATGTCCCTCCCCTTTTACAGAGAATTATCACAATGCATCAACGATGTTGTGATACCATTCAGGTAATGACAAAGTTTTTCTATTACTCTATTCGCCTTTCTCTGCTTCCTCAAGCGTGTCAAATACTTGAAATATGCGGAGTTCTGATCTTTAGAATAACACTATATGCACAGGATTGCTGTTCATCTTCGCTTAGATAAGAGACGCATAAATTTTGAACTGACTTTTGGCTGAACTTTTGGATCATATTTCTTAAACCATTTCGTCTTTGGTTCATTTCGGACAGGTTCTTACAGGTCCAAGAGATAAAAGTCCGGGTGCTGTTGGAGATCGTGTTTATCATGAGCTTCTAGAGGTGACTTACTGGTCCTTTGTTTTGAAGACAGACACAAGGTTGTCCCTTGTATAGATTGCTGGCGTTGAACTTTGGATTCAAAAGGATGTCAAGTATCTTACTAATTACGCGTTGGATGGTTCCAAACAGATAGTAGACTACTTGACTGATGTCGTCATCACTCTAAACGCCTTCATTGAAGTCTATCCTCCTGCTGCACATATCCTGGTTACCTCCGGAAATCCAAAGTAATTCACTAACACCTGCATATCAATTAGTTCTTGTTGTGTTGTGTAGACGTTGAGGTCTAGAAGAAAAGTGAAATATCGTACTTTCAAGCATTTTCTGGTTGGTTGGTTGCGTTGTTAGCTTTCTCAATTTTCATCCTAACTGTAATTATATGTTTCAATTACAAACATGATTGTAGTATCATTGATTTCTGACGTTTTCACTCATTGATTTTCAGTTCAGGACAGGGATTGCTTCTTCCTGCTTTAGCAACAATGCATGACACGTTGTTGCCAAACCTTCAAGAAGGATTCGCAGTACTTGCTAGCAGCCAATCACAAGAAGTAGAAGAAACAGCAGCTTCGGCACAAGTCCGACTTAACAGGCTCGGTGAAAAGCTAGTCGATATTGTTTGGAGATTGATTGATCATCGTTATCTTGGTGGTAGCTCCGGAGATGATACGCCCACGATAACCACGTATGATGATCCTTATGAAGATGCAGCTGGAAGGGGAGATTCGTTGGTACAAGCAGTTGTAGCCCTAGCCATGGGGCCTTCTGAGACTGATAATAGTACTCTCGAATCGGGTAACTCTAGACTCGTATGTACGGGATCGTTACTCAAGCGCATGGAACAGCGACATGGAGTCTCCTATCAGATTCAACAAACTTGCCAGAAAGGTATATCTCAATACATCCTGTATTTTTCTAAAGGTTGAATCTACTTTACCGAGTCTAGTGAAAGGATGGCCGGTACTAATACATGCAAATTATACTTATATCCGTTTTGCAATGATGGAAGAATGGAAGTCATACTTCTTATGAACTTGTAGAACTCAGCTTTGGGCTTATCATCTATCACATCTATGTTAATGAGATGTCTGCATTATTTTGTGCAGGGTCACTTTTTCTTGACGACGCACAACATGATTATCTTTATGCATTGATGGTGGATGATCAAGCAGCACCTGGAGTACGCGGTAAAGAAATTGTAGAGAGCAAACAGAACGTACTAAGACTAACGTTGCCAGAAAGGGACGGGGACGAAGAAACTGTAATTCGACAGTCAAAGATCAGTCAGATTAAGGATCTATTTCCAGACTTTGGTGATGGATTCGTAGACGCATGTCTGGAGGTATATGACAATGATCCTGAAAAAGTGATTGAGAGGATATTGGAAGGTACCCTGCATCCTGATCTTGCGTCGCTTGATACGTCTATAGCGACAAAACCTGTGGCTTCACAAAAAGTGAAACCTGTGAAAGATAAAGGTAAAGGCAAGATCAATGAAACGTCATTTCCTGACTCTGATAGTGTTTGGGTAGACAAGCCTATATCGTTAGTGGGAGTGAGCTCCACCTTGTCTTTGGCAGGCAGTTCCAGTTCTGGTAGTGCATCTGCTGGTGGGACACCTCCTCTATCAAACATATCAAATCCTGTTGCTAAAACTGGTGTAAATGCCGGGCGATACGTGCGGCGACAAAAGGGAGATGACGAAAACTTCAGTTCCCTGCTCGCCGGTAACGAAGACATACGTTTAGCTACTAAAGCTGCAGCTGTTAGAGCTGAGTATGAGGACGAATATGACGACTCTTTTGACGAGCTAGGACAGTACGTGGCTGACACTGGAGGGGTTGAGGAAACGGAGAGCCTTGCCGACCTGGTTGGTAACCGAGGCAGGGCTCGAAGTGAAAACTCTCATCCGAGAAATAGTGGCCGACCCTCACCAGTAACACCATGGGGAGGAGCAGCCAGTAGTCCCAGAGATAGGAAACCTTCGGGTGGTAATACATCTGCTTTAGGTGAAGGCCAAAGAGGAGATCGGCAACATCCAGTGGCTACTTCTAAGGGTGGTTTTGAACCACCAAGAGGAGACCAGCAATATACATCATCTGCACAAAGAAGTCCACCAAGAGGAGATCGGCAGTACTCAGCAAACACACCCAGGAGCAATGCTGAAGCTCATAGAGGAGAGCGGAGATATTCAACGGGTGCTCCAAGTACTAATTTAGGAGCACAAAAGGGAGAGAGAAATTTCGCAACTGGTGCTTCGGCGAGTAATGAAGGACAAAGAGGAGACAGGCCATTCCGGGCGGTGAATACCTTTGACGCACAGAAGGGCGATAGGCAGTATTCAGGAGGCAGCAGTTCAAATGATACCACAGGATATCAGTTCGGAGTTCCAAAGCCGGACGGTGATGGTCAACTGAATGAAACTGAATCTAATTCGGCAGCAGGTCGGGGCCGTGGCGGACGTGGCAACCGAGGACGAGGCAAAAACAGAGGACCCCAACCAAAGTCTGATTTCTACCTCAAGGATGGAAAGCTTTACAGCTATAAGGTGGCTGGTGCTATCGGTGTTGGCAGTGTGGAGGAGGCTGAGCAAATTAAGAGGGAGGAAGCAGTAACTATTTATGGTCTTGGAGAAGGAGGAAATGTGCCAAGACCGCTCGGAGGTGGTGAGAATGATGGGAATCAAGATGGAAGTGATAGTAATTATCGGAAAGGTCCTCAAAGTCCTATGGGAGACGGTGGAAGCGGTCGTGGTGGTAGAGGACGGGGAGGTCCAGCCGGAAGAGGAAGAGGTCGTGGTGAAAATGACAATCATCACAGGAAAGATAAAGCAATGAAGAAACATTTTGCGGGTCTGAGCGGTTTATAGGCCATAGCATTTGCCAGTGCTAACCTAGGTACTCTTCAGATACAAACTGAAGAGTTTTTGTCTTCTTTTTGAGGTGAAGATACTACCTTATCATGTATATGGTTGTGTGTAGGATGAACTTCTATTGCTGTAAATGTCGTTGATATAAGGCTGGTAGGCAGTTTTGTTTTTCCAGTTAAATGTGCATTCGGAAACTGATATATGTATCTCGACAGGTATGGAGGAGGTTCATGGATTATGGCCACCGGTTTATACTAGTATGTCCAGCACAGACGGGAGACACGCTTTCGTATTTCAGCTTCTGGATATATCTTACGAGAGCAGATAATCAACTTCAGGAATAGTGTCACATAGTTATTGCAAGAATCGTCATTTAGGACAGTTGTTTATATTGTGCAGTTTCTACTAGGTGAAACCGCAGAACGATGTCCTCCAAATTAATGACCTCCATAATCCTCATAATACTGAGCAATTGCAGATAAGACCTGTCTGAGCAAACTCCCTGATGGTTTGTTTGCTCATTAATTAGTGAGAGGTCCGAAACTCAGAGAACTGGAAAGTTGGGAGGTTGAGATGGACTTCTGGTTCTTGCAGTCAACACTATTACCCAATAGTTTCTTTCCCGCAAGTCGTGTAGACAGTCAACTTTCGCAAATTTGGAGCCTTTGCTTCCAAATCAAGGATCAGATCCAGTCGGGTTTTTTTTTACCACATCCTTTCTCAGCACTAAATGCTTAGTTCCTCTTGAGGGGTGCTTTACCAGGGAGGACGAGGCATCATCCACATGGACCGATTGCAGATCTTCGGTTTGAAGGAACCCCAGTTATTGTGTTGCTGGTGTCTTAGCCTGTTGATATTTATTCTATAATTACAGCACGACCGTTCGAACCTGAAGCACAAGTCTAGCCTGTCTCAAGGGTCGGATGTAAGTGACCTGTGTCTCAACCTGAGTACAAACGTCGTTCTCGAGATGACATCTGCCACTACAAGAAATAAAGGTAGCATCTCTCCTTCGTAGAGAAGAAGCTTTCGTGGATATTTGTCTCCTTTTCATGCTCATGATGTGGGTCGTGCAATTGGGGAACACATGAGAAAACTAGCTCACTAACCTGATCATTCGACATAATTCTCATCCACTGTCTCATCGTATCCAATCATAAATCCATCGATGCCATGATCTGCACGAATCAGTATAATTCAATTAGGTAACCTGTTTTATTGTGAGCCAATCAGTATACTATGATCTTGTCCTTCGAGCTCCCCCACCATTATGGACTAATTTTTCACCGGAGCTGATTGGAAGACGTTGCTTTAACAGTGCTTGAACACATCTAGAGGTCGTAAGGTGGAAATGGTTTGCTTGGTGTGACCCCATATGAACTATTAGGCGCTCTTAATATCTCATTTACACATCAACCAAGAGGAAGAACAACCACGGTTATTTTGAAACAAATCAAGAGGTCTAATAGACTGTAATCTAACCCAAATGCCACCTTCGAAGTTGCGAACATTATTAAATTAGAATAGAACGAAATAATCCAAATCTTCCTAATGCGCGCATTGGGAAAATAAACAGTTGTATGAGTGTACACTTACTAAGCATTAAACGAAAACCTCATTGAAGGTGAATCCAGAGATACATTTTAGTTAAGCAATAAATCACAACAAAATTGACATTAGTAGTCATGTCCACGCACGCATAAGAGCGGTCAGGATACCTGTTTAGTGCGTCCATGCATGAGCGGTAAGAGACTATGCTGTACCATAACTCCGTTGCATTAGACATATGTAAGAATTCCAAACTCAAATAGGTATATTTTACACATTTCATGGGCTTTTTAGATGTTAAAAGTTACATCTGTTCCAATTATACCAAAAACCTTGCAGTTTATGAAACTATCTTAGTTTTATAGTTTGCATTATCTAGACCTGTAACTAGCTTTCTCCAAATCTCGAAATTTTTTGTAAATAGCTTATTAAATGTTATATATGAAGACACGTGAAAAGTTCCACTGTGGTTCTTAGTCTTTATCAGATCATTGAAATACAGCAATTTTTTTTGGAAATCAATCATTGAAGCATCATCAAATATTATCTTAATCGCCCAATTTGTGTAATGTTTGTCACAATATGCATCCGTTATGTGTATATCTATCTTCTTTAGCCTCTCGAGACATCTGTGCAGACACAATGTAAAAATTAATATCATCCAACCGGATTAATAACCCAGTCCGGTAGGCATGCGCCACCGGTTTTCCCGGAGGTACGTACTACGTAGCGAGACGTAGTACGTGGCGTACGCGGATGGATGGCAAGGGCGCTTGGTCGAAAGGCGTACAGTGCAAACGTACGCGGTTCGTACTGATCGATAGGGGAGCTCGAGAACGAGAGACGAGACGAGCAGGAGGAGGAGAATTGACGACGGCATTGTACGCTCGCCATCCGGATCGGAGCGCCAGCTATGGCGACTGCTGCGCAATTGCTGTGTTTAGCAGGAGCAGCAATTGCCCCAGCGAGGGAGGGGAGAGTCTGCGGCGACGGGAGCTGGAGCAGGGGCGAGCAGCTGAGATTCAGCAGTCGAAATGCCGTCGGGCGGGAAGGGAAGAATCGGAGCGCTGCTCATTCTGTAAGAGCCCAAGGTTTTGATTTTTGGCAGGTGCTTGGAGGAAGAGGATTGCCGGGCGGAGAAGCGGGGCTCAAAACCGAGGAGGGTGCGAAGAAGCTGTTCGCCAATGTCGGTGAGAAAAGCTCCAAAAGCTCGTCCGAGACCGGAGACGAGGAGCGAGACCAAGTGGAAGGTTATGATGCCTTCGGTAAGGAGATGTCGGGCATGGTCGGTGGATTTCCTGGAGGCGAGAAGGGTTTAAGGCAGTTTTTGCAGGCTTATCCTCCCCCCACAAAGGCTTCGAAGGAGCTGGAAAGACTCAAAGGAGAAATTGGAGGCCCGGGGTTGAAAGCGAGGACTGTGGCTCCCCCGTTGCTCATGCCAGGGATGACAGTTGTTGTGAAGCAGCCCCGAAACCCTTACTACATGTACACAGGAATCGTGCAAAGAGTCACCGATGGAAGGGCAGGCGTTATATTCGAAGGAGGCAATTGGGATAAATTGGTCACATTCAAGATTACCGATTTGGAACGCACGGCCAAAGGCCCGCCGATGACCAATCCGAAGTCCGCTGTTCTCGACTCCACTCCCGCCAATTCTTCATGAGCTGCTGTAAAGATAGTCTTCCCTTTCCAATTCTTTTCATGGTCATTCGAATCTTGTACCAACACAGAACTTGTATATTAGATTGTGGCACATACGGTACGCTCATGCCGATTGAAATTCAATCTGTAACACTGCTGACACAAGTTGGTGATGTCTCTTGCATTCCCTTCGTTTCTTAGCGATTCTTTGTGTCGGTTCATCCAACGAAAAGCGTGAATGTTTGTGGATGTCAGTTCGAAGGCCAGCATTGCCGACCGGATGGCCACGTCCAGTAGAATTCGCTGACGAGGAATTCTCTTCAGATTTGAATTTCTAGCCCTCATGGGAAGATTTACATGCACCTGAACACTTCCACCATGAACGTTGTGCTCGACCGCCGCTTTTTCTAATTTCTCCTTTTCTCGTGCAAAACTGTGTCGAGTATCATACCGAGGTACACAAATCTGTCAGAAGCGTCAAGCAACACCTCCCAGAGCCGAACCCTGAACCTTTCAGTAGCTCTTGTATGCAGCAATGAAAAGTGCGAATTGCCTGGATGGCTATTGATGAATGCCAGAAAGGCATCTCCGTGGCCAGATTGCTCTCGATTTTCTGGTGTATGAAAGTCGCCGTCAAGGGCCAAAGCATGGTCCTTGGTGTAAATTTTCCTGCATGAGGAAGATGTCTCTCTGGCATTTAATTGTACGCCACATCAAATGTCACTGCTTCTGCGGCCAATGTATTGTGCACGTGCTTTTTCTTACTCTAATCTTTGAGTCGCCCCAGGTTCGCACTCTGCCCATTCATAATGTCGACGGCGGTCAGTAGTTGTGGATACGTTTCGCCCGGTGATTTGTCGTAGAAGTGACGATGAAGACATTTGTGATTGTGGCACTGCCAAATTAGTAGATGAATTTCTTAAAGATGGATGACACTTTTGCAAATCTGCCAAGTGGAGGACATTGACTTCTGTGAACTATCAGAATTTGAACGAAACATGTGAAGAGGGTGGTAGAATCAAAGGTTTTCGAAATCTCATTCCAGATGTTTGTGTTGAAAGTGGTACTGCGGTATTTATCGATTGCTTCTTATGGAATAAATCTCTGTGTATAAATTCAACCGGAGTAATAAGGACGAAGACATCAAGAATAACCCCATCCAACTTCACTTTGTAAGACTTCAACGCAAAGATGATGATTTGGGGAGCGAAGTTAGTCGAGGAATGCGAACGTAATGACAAACTATCTTTCGTGGAGAAAACAGGTCTAGAGTGCAAAAGACCACGGTATGTTGACTGAGATTCTTGAACGAAAATTCAACTAGATGATAAGTCCACCCCCGCAAATATATTCTGAAGCAAGAAATATGCAAAGGTTGTCCCTTCTGTGGCTTACCGTAGCTAGATGTTATAGAGATTCGACTAGAAGACGTTTTCCTCTTAGATAACACGCCCCATGCGCCAAAAAAAGGTTTTAGACACCGCTTTAAGCATTAATGTGGAACTTATAAGAGTAAATATAAATATAGAATATATTATAAAACTTATTTATCATACAATTTTATATATAACAGTTCTCAGTTTCACACTGATGCGATTATATCAAGCAAATTTTACTTCTGTGTGAAATTGTGTAAAAAATAATAATACTAAACCATTACTACAGTGATGTCAAGTCACAAATATCTAAAATCATATACATGTTAATATGATCTTAAGGCTTTGATTTCCTATCTTCTTTTAATTCAAATTTTTTTGAATTGTGCAATTTTATGTAAGAAGAAAATTTGAAATCTGAATTTCTTTTTGCTAATGGTGTAAATTCATTTTAAATATTGATATCTTAGTATACTTTCAATATATATAGAAAATATCATAAAAAATGTCTAAAGTGATTATAATTTAGATTATTTACGAAAATCAATAGTCATTTTTTATATTTTTCAATTTAAGTATAATATAAATTTTTCAAAAAACTCAAAGACATGTGCTTGAAATTGATATATAAAGTTAAATTTAAAATTATTTATTCACAAATAAATTAATGCTAATGAAATTTTTTTTATAATGATTTGAATTGAAATTTTCGCTAAAAAAATAATTCATTTTTACAAAATTGATTTTTCATTTTTATAAAATAAAATGGTAAAAGGATTTTTCAATCAAAAATTTCACATCAATGATGTTTTGCTAATGTATTTTGCTTCATACTTTTTGGATTTTTCATAAACTTTCTAAACTTAATCACAGTCTTTTTTTCTTCATACCTATGATTCTCTCAACTTGTTTAAAATCTTCTTATTTATCTTTCTATATGGACTATTTGAAAAATTATCATACTAACACATGGTAATTAATTCATAATTTACTTTACAAAGATAAATTTGATTAACTACCAATACACGACAACATGTCATTGGTTTATCAAACTTTCAAAAAATTTTCTAATACTTTGTTTGAAGTGGCGATATGTCATTTTAGATTTTTCAAATTCTAAAATCTATACTTGTCACTAAGTCAATTTTAAACTTAGTCTAATCAATAAATTTTTCATGGCTCAGTCAAACTAATCTGAAGTCAAAAATCTTTTACTTTGAATCTAGACCTTTGTAATAAACAAAATTAAAGAGCATATCCAAATTTTCTACAACTCTTCTTATTATTTATCCAAGTATAGATATTATAACTATATCTAGTTATAACTAATTAGAATTTTAGTTATACCTAAACTAACTATGATCAATTCATTGGCTACTTCTAATACTATTTCACATAGGCAAAAAAACGGTCTTACTAATCATAAAGAATTTATGATTAGTCAAAATTATGTCAAGAAACATATTATAGGTCATAAATATCTCAAAATAGAATATTTGGTTCAATCAAAAAAATATTATAACACTAGAGTTTCAAAAGAAGTTCACTCAAAGATGAAAATATCAACTCCGAAGATGATAGTTGTTGAGATTAACTCCCGTTAAGGAGTAAACTCAAGTTCTAGCTATTTATAGCTAGGTGTCTCGCTGGCTTTGGGTATAAATATACCCCCAAGGCCAAGGCTTCAAAGTGCAACAGTATTCTATATTCACTAGTGAGTAAACAGTCTCGTGCATTCACTAGTCACTAAACAGTCTCGCGTGTTTCAGTCGTGGACGTAGCACCTGAGGGTGAACCACGTTATATGAGTTCCTCGTATGATTCATACTTGGCTTGAATGACTCTTGGATTTACGTTAGGAAATGGTATCATAGCCTTTGTCGGTTCGGAATCCTATGTCAAAGCCTTAGTCAATGTTACAAGTTTCATTTTGTTAACGTTTTTCAGTAACAATTTTCTGCTTTGCTGACGGTTTGTTCAGAGATAAGTTTTTGAAGGTGTTTTTTGTTACAAGTTTCGTTCTATTAACGTTCTTTCTTTTTCTTTTTCTTTGACAGTTTGCTTGCTTTGCTTACGGTTTGTTAAGAGATAGATTTCGTTGGAGTTTTTTTTTGTTCTAAGAAACCCCAAGCACGGCAAAGTGGCAAGCTGGCAAAGTGGCACGGCGTATCCCGAGCAGCGGGGCTTTTTTGTACACCACAGGCAGGGCCGAAGTGACCCTCATCCCTACTCCTGCGTCACGTGGCTCCCCCCTCCAAATCGACTTGTTGGACGGTGAAGGTGAAAAAACTTGGATGGTTTTGCACAGTTGCAGTTAGACATGGTCAGAGTGAACACAACGCGGTTCGGGGTCTAACGTGGATGGTCACTATGAACGTGGTCGGTTGTGATCGTAGTTGAACCGAACGCGGTCAAGGTTGTGGTTGTAGTCGTGGTCAGGGACGTGGTTTTGGTCGAAGGAGACTTTTTCCCCACCCCTTGAGGTGGCCCATCTAGCCCTTTACCCGTGGCGGATAACCCTAACAAACACACTGATCGCTGACGTGGCGCTTCCAACTAACACACTAACTAACACACTCAATTCTTACCTACAAGCACACGGATTGTTGACGTGGCATTGTCAACTAACACATCCACTCTGTACCTACCAAGTGCGCGGATCGTTGACGTGGCAACTATGACTAGTGCACACTAAACTATCTATATCAATATTTAGAGTAACATCTACTTTAGTTCTAACTAACTAAAGATGGTTACATCCGCTTGGAGCGCACTCAGCAAGATGTCGTGTGGCGTTTCCAAGGACCCCCCATTCCCGAGCGCCACGTGGCGGATTTTTTGCACGGCGTGGACGAGCCGCGCAAGTGAGGTGCTCACGAACTCAAAGCCCACCATGGTTGGTTGGATAACCATGTAAGGCGGCTAACCGCGATCAGAAAATAATTACGTTTGATGGTGTAATCATGGTAATGATGATCTGCGACCAAAGAAAACTACGTTAGATGGAACAACCACGTTCAAACAGGCGAACCGCGGTCAATGGCACTTGACAGTGACAGTGACTGCCAATAAACGTTAACAGTTACGGCCGGATCAACGGTGACGGAATATTTTGTTTGTAAATATTACGTCAGCGAGCATCTTTTTCAGATGATAGACAAATTGAGTATCGTTTGAAAATTCTGGATGCAACTAAAGCATGTGGACCATTTTCAGGAACTGAAAGATTAACCCACACGGAGAAAACAGCCTCAAAAGTTAATTTCCTATCTAGTTTTTTTACGAGCTAAGATACAACACAATAGGTCGGAGTATTTGGATTGATAGTCACAATAAACAACAGTCGCGAACGACGTAAGTTGCGGACAATGGTCGCGAGCAACATTTGTTGATGGCGTAATTAGTTGTGGGCGACGGTGAAGTACAGTCATGGGTGACAATCAGTCAAGACTATGGTCGCAAGTGTGGGCGACACTTGGTGATCAGACTAGTGCGTTGGCAAAAGTAATGTTATAGACTAAGAAACTATGAGGTTTTGGTCAGTATAGATGTGTATTTCATTCCAAATCATCGAAAAAGAAAGAGAGTTCTCATGATCTCCGAACTGACAATGGAAAATCCTTGCGCATGGATATAGGCGAGGGGGAGATTGTTGAGTTACCTTTGTATATTATTACTCTATCTTGTTATGGTTAGGACTTGGTTCTAGTTAACTCTTGTATAAAGAGGGAACTTGTGTTAGGTTTCCGTCTAGAATTTTTTTGCAAAGTAATAATATAGATGAGAAATGTTATTGAGATTTCTAAATACGAGTTAAGGGGGGGTTGTTGAGTCACCTCTGTATATTATTACTCTATCGTGAATAGGCTACGACTTGATTCTAGTTAACTCTTGTGTAAAGAGGAAGCCTTATGTTAGACTTCTGTCTAGAACTTTCCGCGGAATAATAATGTATGTTATAGAGGTTGTTATTCCTTAACGTGAGTTAAGGGGAAGATTTTTGAAGTTAACTCTAGTTAAGGAGTAACCTCAGATCCTAGCTATTTATAGTTAGGACGGTCGCCTGGACTAGAGATAAATACCTTGAGGTTTGCCCTCTACATTGTGTCTTTTTGAACATAACCTAGAAGTAAAGTCCAGCGTGTTCTGCAACCTCCGGGCTGACTCTCACTCAGGTTTACCTCAGATGGCTTTTCGGTAGCTCATCATGATTCTAGAAGACTAGGATTCCGCATCATACTCATAACCTAAACACCCTCTCACACAATCTCTCAAGGTATCACTCCAACTCATACACTCATCGACACTCCAAGGTACTGAAAATTCGTCACTCTTTCATATATGAAACAAGTCTCTACATATGAACTCTCCAAACTTGCTTGAGAGGCTCTTCCCTACCTCTCTATATATACTACTTGAGAATTTACCATAGTAACAAATGGTAATTTCTATCTAACTTACTTTTACGAAGATAAACCATAGTAAGGTTGACTAGTTATCAATATGTGGCAACATGCCATTGGCCCCCTAAACCTTCTAGATGTTTACTAATCCCTAGATTGAG